ACCCCTTCCCCCCCGCTGGCGGGGCCGGCCGGCCCGGCGACCCGGCTCGCCGCCCGAGGACCTGACAGCTCTTGCCCTCATCAGGACGAGGGGCGTCACTCGCCCCCGGACGTGGAGGTGGGGGGCAGGGACAACCTCCCCGCCCGCCATCACCTCAGGAGCGAGAACCAGCCCTTCCCTCAGCGAGACGAGGGCCTCCCTACTCCTCGCGGGGGCAGGCGACGTTCGCGGCCCCGTGGAGAAGCAACAGGCGACCCCGGCCCTCCGCCCCGACGACGAAAGCCGGCCCTCGCGTCCCTCCCGCTCTTTCACCTCCGGAAGCCGGGCCAAAGCCTGGGCGAACGGCTGCACCTCACTCCGCCCCCTGCGCCATTTTATCGCCCCCTCCTCGACCTCCCCCACCCCGAGGCTGCAAGGCCAACACCAGGGGGGGAGGGCAAGCACACAGTGATTGGCAGGAAACCGCCCCGCCCCTGAGCGGGTTGCGTCCCCGGGCAGCCTGCCCGACCCCGCCTTCCGCACCGCCTACCCTGGCTGACGGCTCCGCCCCTTCCTGTTTCATCGACCCGTTCGGCACTCCGCTGCTCCTGACTGCGTGCTACTCCAGGGCGGAAGAGAACCTAGGCCTAGCAAGCGGAGCTACGAGCTCAGCTGATGCAACCCGAAGGGACGAGCGTGACAGTTCCCGGCACGCGGCGACGGCGGCGAACGAGGAAAGGGCGCGGGTGCCAGCTGAGCGCGGGAAGCGGAGAAAGCGGAGCCATGGGGGATGCTCCTAGCCCTGAAGAGAAGCTGCACCTTATCACACGGAACCTGCAGGTCGGGCCTTGGGGGTTGAATGCGCCGTTGGGTCCTGGGGACTCTTGAGTCTAGTGATCCCAAGCCCAGCCCTGGGTCCTACGTGTGTAGGGCCTCGGTCTCCGCGCCCGGGCGGTTCTAAGGCCATCTCTACCAGTCAGTCGATCAATAAGTTAGTCAGGCAGCCCATTCCCAGGGTGCAGAAGAATCCACAGCGGACTCACCTTTTGTGCGCCCTTTTCTTGTGCTGTAGCCATTCTGGAGCTAAGAACCCCATTCCACCCGTCCTATGATATGCGGGGCGCAGTGCTAGTCTCTAGGGAGTTAGGGCCATATCCTCCCAGGGCTCCTGTGGAGAGAACTAGAAATTTAGAACAACTCAGAACTCAAAACACTAAAGGTAATGCAAGTGCTGAAAGTTCCTGTGCCTGGAGTTCCGGATAGAAATGGGGGAGGGTGGGCTAAAGAGATGGCTCGGAGGTTAAAAGCTCTTGCAGAGGACCCGGGTTTGGTTCCCAGCACCTGTGTCAGGCAGCTCAACACGGCCTGAAGCTTCAGAGGATCTGACATCCCCTTCTGGCCTCCGTGGATACCTACACACTTAAGAAATAGAGAAGGCTTCCTCTGAGGAAGTGTCCTCCACACTGCGCCCAGTCTGTGCATCTTCCCTGCCCTGCCTAGGTGCTTCTTCTGTTGTCCACAACTACAAGTGTAGGGGCAACCAGAAAAATCCCGAGAAGCAATTTCAGGCAGAGGGAAGACCCAAGGGGAGCAAGAAAACTGTGCTTCAGAGAGAAGGCTGGGAGTGTAGCTCACTTGGTAGAGCAACTGTGAGGGTCTGGGCTCAGTCTTCGGGGCCCTCATATACCCTTGCTCCAAGAAGACTGATTTATCTGGAGTGGAGCAAGCATCGTGCCGTTCAGACAGACCCTTGCCAGCAGAACTGTCTCCATCCTTGCTCGTAAGACCCTGGCCTCTCCTGTTCCTCCACAGCACTTACCACTGTTGTTTGACTTGTTCGTTCGTTCGGGAGAGGCAGGCAGGAGCCAAGTCATGAGGGCCTTGTAAATTCTTTTAGAAGCCAGATAAAGACTGGATTAGACTTACGCTAAGGGCAGTTGCACCACCAAAGCGTCTTTCTGACCTTTATTTATTTGTTTTATTTAAGCTGTAATGCACTGTTCCTGGGTGTGGTGGTACATGCTACCTGTAATTTCAGCACCTGAGAGGCAGAGACAGGGGGATCACTTCAACTTGGAGGCCAGCCTAGTATAAATAGCTAGCTAGGGCTACATACGGAGACCCTGTCTCTAAAG